TACTGATTCTGATTCGGGCGAATAGTATCAGCCACATCTCCCTTCGCGGCCTGGCACCTTCCTCCGTCGCGAGATCTGGGATCGGCCCGCCCCGACTACGGACGCGACGATGGCGGAGTACGAGCGTGCCGAATTCGTGGACCTACCAGCGTGGCTCAGCACCGCGCGCAACGATCACGTTCGCGCCATCCCTGGACTTCCGCCCCCCGGCCCGCAGACTATCTCTTCGCGGGAACTACGTTGGATTTTCGAGCCTGTCGTCCGTGATGTCCTGTTCCGCGGCCTCGACAATTACCAGCAGCTCCAGATCCGTGCCCAGCTTCGCGAGGCAATCCTTGTGACTCGTGCTGGCCGGGTGCCCCCACGGGGCCAGCAGTGCTCTGAGTGCCGCAACCGTAACGCGCACCGCCCCTTCACCCACTGTGTGTCTGGCGGATTCGGTGAGAAGTGCAATAATTGTTTATACCGCGGGCACGCTAGATGCAGCTTTGCTTCTTGGGTAGCCTAGTGGTCGCGATAGTGATGATCTTGTCTATTAGCAGTTTTCATATCAAGGATTTAGGAGTTGGCTCGCAGGAATACTATTCATAATCTTTTCTATTTTGTTCTTATTGTTATTGCTATAGTAGCCTCCCTAAATCAGAAGTAAACAAGATAGTTCGCGATCTCTACCTTTCGCGATGGTTATCTTAGAGAATAGTATGACTTGCGAAGTGATTTTTGATAGTTCGCAAGGTACGCCTTAAAGTATAGTATGACTTGCGAAGTCATTCCTTAATAGTTCGTGAGTTGCGCCTTAAAGTATAGTATGACTTGCGAAGTCATTCCTTAATAGTTCGTGAGTTACGCCTTAAAGTATAGTATGACTTGCGAAGCCATTCCTTAATGGTTCGCGAGGTACGCCTTAAATAATAGTATGACTTACGAAGTGATATTTTGATAGTTCGCGAGGTGCGCCTTAAAGTATAGTATGACTTACGAAGCCATTCCTTAATAGTTCGCGAGGTACACCTTGAATAATAGTATGACTTACGAAGTCTTTTCTTAATAGTTCGTAAGGTACGCCTATAAGGACTATTGTACTATATAGATTCTAGTTTAGCGTAGCTCGAAAAAGACCTAGGCGTGGTTAAAAACAAAAGCCCTACTATGGTTCGAAGTTATATAATGCTTTTTTAAGCTACGCTTACCCTTTTTTCGAACTATGCTTAGCGACTACTACTATAAAAATTTATTTCTTATATAAGAGCGATCGAATTAATTATAGGGTTTAACTTCTACTTTTACTAGTATATACCCTATACCCTACCCCATGGGGGTTACTGGGACGTTTATGGGTCCAGTAGGATTACGTAAGCTTAGGGTTTCCTTAACTATGGGACGGCCGACCAACGCCCCAGTAGACATTAAATCAACGTCCCAGTAGAGCTTTTGTCGGCGCCCAACGCTCACAATTGGTGATGTTTGAGTTCATTGGTTCCCACATTTTATTCCCAAATTTCAGGCCCCAATCGCCCCATGAAAGGGTGGTTGCAGGGATTCGAAATCAGGTAAATATTTTGATGGGGGGCGACCGGCGGTTAGCAGAACGCTTCATCGACCATGAGAGGTCAACCACCAACCAGCGATCCCCAACATCCCAGTCCAGAGTTTGAGCTGAAAATTCAGGGGTCGCATTCAGGGGGTCTCCCATATATCCCAGCTGATTTTAAGCGCTATCCGATTTGAATTCAACACCCGTCATTGATAGCATCCACTAGAAGATATACGTCCATCACACACACTTGAGATATATATACGCATCTCGCATCCAACATACCATGGCAGAGTCCATCAATGCCAACACGTTTTTCCAGCCCAACAACGAGCTTGGAGTCGCCATTTGCCGGCGATGCGAGTACGCCGTTAGACCCAGAGAGATTATTCGCCATTTAACGAAGCCCAAGGGCGCGCATGTTATCCCCCACAGCGTCGCAGAAGAGGTACTTACACAGATCGTGAATACATGGCCCAACGTCCGCGATGAACCCACCAACTTACCACAGTCCGTTGGGAAGCTAATTCCCGGGCTGACTATCTACAATGATGGGATCTTATGTACGTTTTGCGGGTACGTTTGCCGTACAATGGAGAGCATCCGGAAGCACTGGCGGACCCAGCATGGGTTTTCGCCATATGACCATAGTCGGAAGCCCCGGCCATCTGAAGTCCCAGCTGGCCAAGACGCCCGGGATCAGGCGATGCGACGCGTCGTGTGCCAGCGGGTTTTTTACCGGAGGCTTGGATCGCATTACATTCACGTCCGACAACCCGGACCCAACTATGAACCCGCACGCCCGCCACCCCAGGCTAATGTGGTCAATGAACTCATCCAGCAGCTCGAACAGACGTACGTTGACTCGCAGGCCCCGGACGACCGTACGATCCAGGCCGGCCCGCTCGATGAGGCGAACCCGTGGCTCCGACGGACGCAGTGGGCCGTGTATTTACAAGGTGTGTATTGATTCGTGCGTCGTTGGGTAGGCTAGTGGAGAGAGAGACCATCTTAGAACTGGGGTTTTAAGGAATGAGCTTAAAACCTGGGTTCTAAGATGGGGCCCACGCCCCAGCTTTGATAGTCGATCGATTAATCCCCAATTTGACTAACTAACGGCTCGTAGGCATCCCCCCCCGCGATATACTACAGTCCATCAAGACCCCCCCAGAGGACGCCCAGGGCCCAGAAGGGGCGATGCGGGCCATCTGGGACGCCATAGACGGGGTCGCGCGGATCAGCCAGCGCATCACCAAGCAGACGGGCCATCTGATTCGTGTCGAGGCTGCTCGTACGGAGAAAGACCAGAGCCCGCACGAACCATTACAGGCATATATGGATGAGGAGCAGATCCAGCGGCATGTCGAGCCGTGGCAGCAGATCTTGATGTTTTTCGCTCGCACCCAGGTTGAGCACGATTGGCCGAGCCCGCCGTACCGATTCACCCCCCGCCAGCGACGGGCATGGCAGGCATTATGGCGGCATGCGCAGGACACGCGTGGGAGCCCCGACCCATTCGACCATCCGAGCCAGACCCAGAGCCAGGGAGACGGTGGCGACGATCCATACCAGATGACTCCGATCCAGACCGCATGTATGGACTTTTGCATTGAACTATTGAACCAGCGGGCTAGCGCGGAAGAGTACGAATGTGCCTTGATATGCGCATTAGCCGTGCTTGGCCAGGGCCGTGATCGATGGCGCGACGCGGACAGTTATCCCCCAATTTTGTCCAAAACAATCAAGATCAGTCGATTCATGGTATTACACAAGGCGTTGCGTTTGGATCCGAATGCCAAGCAGATTTTACAATACATGCGTGACCGTCATGAAGTAGGTAAGTAAGAATCGCGATGGATGACTTCGTGCATAGGTTGGCTCGATGGCTCGATGCTTGATTGATTGACCGATGTTAGGTACGTGGTCGATCGAAAGCCCGATGGACGATCCCGAATATATATATTCCGGCCAGCACGACGAAGGGTATGACAGCGATCGGAGCCCACGAGAACCATCGAGCAGCCCCGCGTTCGAACCCACACATCGCCAGCCCGAGCCCATGCAATTCAGTCAGCAGCAGCGACGGAAACCGCGTCCGTTTCGCGAGTGGTTGCGATTGTTGACGGACACATTCATGGTGCGCGGGACGCATAGTCCGATGCAGTGGATGCTCGATTTGCGCACGTACGGCTTACGCATCCATTATAGCAGTACGGCCACCGGCCACGTGAGCTGGTCCGGCCAGGACGAGTTGCTATACAAGGAAATCCACTTCACCATGGGTGATTTCCGGGGGTTTACTCACGGGTTGGTCGGCTCCGTACGCCAGCTACTACACCACGAGCTATTGATTGGCGACGCCGCGAGCGCACCCGCCATCCCATGGGCGCAGCTCATGGACGACCCCACGCAGGCCAAGCCTGGGTGGTGCTTTTTAAACGACAGTCGCACCCCGTGGCCCATCGACGGGGCCCAATGGCTCGCCCGCCGGATCCAGCGCGAGCCCCGATTACAACAGCGATTTGTCGACGGGCCCGAGCGTCGATTCCGGATGCGTGCCATCGAACAGTACATGCAGAGCGTGGTCCAGTTCCGTGAGAAGCTCGCCATCGTTTGTCACATCACCGCGGGCCAGCCCGGCCGTGCACCCGAGCTATTGAGTGTCCGCCATCGCAACACGGAAGGGGCCCATCGCAACGTATTCATCGAGGATGGACTGGTCGTATTCGCGACGAAGTACCACAAGGGGTTTTATGCGAGCAACGACGCGAAGATCATCCATCGGTACTTGCCGCGCGCGGTCGGGGAGCTGGTGGTATGGTATTTATGGTTAGTGTTACCATTTGTGGAACGATTACAGGCGTACCAGCACGAGGCTCGTGGTACGGCTCGCGAGACGATTCAGGGTCTGCAGTCCCGTGCCGCATACATCTGGGCGCCCGACCCAACGAGTGGGCGTGAGTGGACGTCGGAGCGATTACGGGAGGCGTTGAAGCGCGAGACGACGATTGGGCTGAATGGGTAAGCTATATGAGTTGTTGATGGCTTGACGGCCCAGCTTGATGGCCCAGCTTGATGGCTAACTACTGAATAGGTACGCATTGACTTTGCCCGCGTACCGGAATATCGCCATTGGGATCAGCCGGCGGTATTTACGGGTATCCAGCGTTTTCCCCCAGAATGTCCAGGACGACGGGACCAAGGTGCCAGCGCATGACGACGATGAACCCGAGGATCACATCGCGGATTTACAAGCCGCGCATTCATCCCATGTGGCGGGCATGATTTATGGCCGCGAGATCACCGAGCAGGCTGGGACGACGGCGCACCGACGGGAGATGTTCCGATTATCCAGCACGGATTGGCATCGGTTTTTAGGGTTCGAGAGCGCCGAGGACGGCTTGGCCAGGGTGCTTGGCAAGCGCAAGCAGGGCCCATGGGAGGCCGAGGCGGACGACCATCGACGTCAGCGCCGATGGCAGCTCCACGAGGCCAATATGACGGAGGCATTGCAGCGGATGACCAACGACGACCAGAGCCAGTTCCGCGGCGTCCAGGGGCCCGCGATGCAGGCGATCCAGCATGGGGTGAGCCCCGTGGTCGTGGTGATGCCGACGGGCGGGGGCAAGAGCATGTTGTTCATGTTACCGGCATGGGTCAGCGGCGGGCTGACGGTGGTCGTCGTCCCATTGATTGCTTTACGCCAGGACTTGCAGCAGCGATGCGCGGTGGCCGGCATCTCGTGCGTGGAATGGGAGAGCCGGCGGCCGCCCGACGAGGCGGCCATTGTACTCGTCACGCCCGAATCCGCGTTGAGTGAGGATTTCATCACGTTTTTGAACCGACAGCAGGTATGTCCCCCCGCGATCCGAGACCCCAGCCGGCGCCCCCAGTTTAGAACCGGGGTTGTAAGGATGCGTTCGAACCCCGGTTTTAAAACGGGGGCCCAGGGATTAGGGTTGATGTCCCCATGTCCCACCGTCACCAACTGAGATGCCCCCCGCGCCCGCAGCTTATAAGCTGGGTTTTAAGAGGTCAGCAGAGGTCCGCTTAAAACCCAGGTTATAAGGTAGGCCCGCGCATCGGGCTTGAGGTTAGCATCGACGGAGCATAAGATCCATACTAATGTTCGCCCAGGTCATGAAACGGTTGGACCGCATTGTGATTGATGAATGCCACATCGTATTGAATCAGCAGCGTGATTTCCGGCCCATGATGCAGCAGCTTGGACGATTGATGATCGCACGGACGCAGGTGGTTTTGTTGACGGCGACATTGCCGCCCAGCTTAGAGGACCGATTATGGCAGCGCATGCGATGGTCCCGGGAGCAGGTCAGCTTGTTCCGTGGTCGAACCAGCCGGACCAACGTGGCATATCGTTTGTGGCGTCCGATCATTGAGCGGGAGTACAATGGGCCCCATCGTTGGATCCAGATGGATCATATCGCAGCATTCATCCGGGACCGCATCCGACGATCGCGGGGCGGGCGCACCATTGTGTACGCGCATATCGTCGAACATGTCACGACGATGGCGGAGATACTTGGGTGCGAGGCGTATTACCATGACCAGCTTGATAAGGCCGGCGTCTTAGAGCGGTTTCGCAGCCAGCCCCACGGGGTGGTCGTGGCGACGAGTACATTAGGGATGGGAGTCGACATCCCCGACATCCGCAGCATCATCCATTTGGGGCGACCACGAACGTTGCTGGATTACGCGCAGGAGAGCGGGCGCGCAGGTCGGGACGGTCAGGCGAGCGAGGCGATCATCATCCAGCCCGACGGGGTTGATACCCCCCCGCCGTGGATGCAGGACACGCCGTCCGCGGAGCAGCAGCGGGTAGATGCATATATGTCAGCCAGTCCATGCCGGCGGGTCGTTTTGGACGGGTATTTGGATGGCGTGGTAGATGGATACCAGCGATCCCATTGTGGGGATCACGATTATGGTTCGGTCACCAGTGAGGCACGATGTGATGGGTGCGACCCCGATTGGCAGGTGATAGAAGAGCAGGAATCCAGCGAAGCTGCCAGTCCGAGAACCAGCCCAGAAGCCAGCCCAGAAGCCAGCCCAGAAGCCAGCCCAGAAGCCAGCCCAGAAGCCAGCCCAGAAGCCAGCCCAGAAGCCAGCCCAGAAGCCAGCCCAGAAGCCAGCGAGACGGCCAGCAGTATTGATTCCGAGAGCTTACAGTCACAGGCACCATGGGAGAGCCCCATTCATGATCACATACAGACCATGGCGGCCGGCACAGGATCCAGTCATCACATACAGACCATGGCGGCCGGCACAGGATCCAGTCATCACATACAGACCATGGCGGCCGGCACAGGATCCAGTCATCACAGGCAGACCATGGCAGCCAGCGCAGAATCCAATGACCACAGAGGTATTCCATTTGGGGTCCGGCAACAGTTCCAGCAGCAGGAAATTGATCGCGCACGCATGTCCGAGCAGCATCAGCAGGCGCGGCAGCAGGAACTGACAGACGAAGAGTTTTTAATGCAGCAGGCGCGGGAATGGCAGGATCGTTGTTGGATTTGTGCGCAGGACGGCCGGAATGCTGAGCACGAATTATACCATTGTCCCCAGCCCAGTAGCCAGCAGGCGCGGGATTGGATGATTCGAGTCCGGCGGCGGGTCCAGTACGCACGATATACCAGTTGTTTCCAATGTGGGATGCCACAGACATTATGCTCCGGGTGGTCCAGTGGGGAATGCGCGCACCGCGGATTATTATACGCGATGGTTGGGATGATGTTGTTTGGAGGCCCCAAGCAGGAGCAGGTCCAGCGATTATGGGAGCAGCGATTAGCTGAGCAGGGGGTGAGTGCACAGGATGAGCCGCAGGTGACAGCGTTTTTAGGGCAACGCAGTACCCAGGGGTGGGAGAAGCATACGGAGTTAGTTCGTGCATTCATATGGTTGCGGCGGATATATCATGAGGTTGGGATGTAGGAGGGAGGGTTTAGTCGAGAGATATATATCCACGATCGGAATTTCCAAGCCGGTTTCGAGGCAGATTCGGTAGCCGATTTTTATTTTGGAGGTCCAGCAGGCCAGTTTAAATACCAGGCCATATTACACACCCGGTTGGACACCAAGTAAGACAACCAGATTCGGGTGTTATAGTTGTATCAATTCCATTCAGGTTTAGGCAATTGTTTAGTAGTATGCCATAGTAGGAGTCAGTATCACAATTATCAGAGCCATAATTCATAAGTCGAGAGTAAGATATATCATTATGAATCCAAATGTATAGATCCATATTCCCATTTTGATTACTCAGTGATTGATAGGGATCATAATGGTTAGGGAGATAGATGATGGGGAGAGGATTATATAGAGTATAACATTTCGATAGATAGGAAGATCAAGCAGAGATACAATGGTTAGGGAGATAGATGATGGGAGAGGATTATATAGAATATAACATTTCGATAGATAGGAAGATCAAGCAGAGATAGAATGGTTAGGGAGATAGATGATAGGGGAGGATTATATAGAGTATAACATTTCGATAGATAGGAAGATCAAGTAGAAATACAATGGTTAGGGAGATAGATAATAGGAAAGGGATTATAGAGAGTATCATCATCTTAATAGTAAGTAAGATTAAGCAGCAATATAATAGTTAGGGAGATAGATGATCAGGAGGGGATTATAGAGAGTATCATAGTTGAGATAGATAGAAAGATTAATTCAAAATAGAATGGTTAGGGAGATAGATGATAGGGATTATAGAGAGTATTATAGTTCAAATAGTATGTAAGATTCAGTAGAAATGTCATATAAGGGAGATAGATAATAGAGGGGATTATAGAGAGTATTATAGTTTAGATAGTAAGTAAGATTCAGTACAAATATAATGGTTAGGGAGATAGATGATAGGGAGAGGATTATATAGAGTATAACTATTTAGATTGATAGGAAGATTCAGTAGAAATGTAATAGTTAGGGAGATAGATGATTTCGAAGGGAATTCATGGATATCATTATTTAGATGGTAAGTTAGATTTAGTAGAAATATGATGGTTAGGGTGATGGATGATTTTGAAGGGGATTTATTAAGGATATAATTGGATTAGTGTTTTATGATTCAGGAGGAGGTTTATAGAGAGTATAATGATTTTGTTTGAAGGGGGAATTATAGGGAATATAATGGTTAGGGTCATAGATGACTAGGGATAAGAATTTGATATATAGGGAGAGTAGAAGGGGGAGAGTAGAAGGGGGAGAGTAGAAGGGGGAGAGTAGAAGGGGGAGAGTAGAAGGGGGAGAGTAGAAGGATTTTGGTTCGATAGGGAGTTAGTATCTGAAAATTTGATGTTATTGATTAGATGATGAGTTCGATTTAATAATCTGATAGGAAGATTCATGATGGTATTCATAGATTAAGATTTTTATTTGGATTTATGGAGGAGAGAGGGGAGATGAATTTTATTATTAATGGTATTCGTTATTTCGAAAGCGACTTAGTATTAGTGTTATTAATGATAGGGATTTGTATAGAATGTTTTAGGAGGGGTTTCATTTATTTAGATATTAAGTCGAAGAAGGTAAGGGCGAAAGTCAGAGATTGATTGTGGTTAGGGTGATCGGAAAGAGAGAGATTCAAGGTGGTTAGGGTTTGAAATGATGGGGGAGTAGGAGTAAGAGGGATAGGAGGAGTTTCAGTATAGGTGATGATCGATATAAGCCATATTCGAGTTAGCGTTAGAGGTGATAAGCTAAGCGAGTCACGTTAGAGTTAGAGTTAGAGGTGATGAGCGAAACGAATCACATTAGAGTATTAGAGGTGATGAGCAAAGCGAGTCACATTAGAGTTAGAGTATTAGAGGTGATGAGCGAAGCGAGTCACGTTAGAGTTAGAGTTAGAGGTGATGAGCGAAGCGAGTCACGTTAGAGTTAGAGTTAGAGGTGATGAGCGAAGCGAGTCACGTTAGAGTTAGAGTTAGAGGTGATGAGCGAAGCGAATCACGTTAGAGAGTTAGAGTTAGGGTAGCCCGTACCGGTTAGGACACCGCTATTAGGGTTAGGGTTAGGGTTAG